ATTTATTTGAGAGAGAGAGAGAGTGAGAGAGAGAGCATGAGGGGAGAGAGGGTCAGAAGGAGAAGCAGACTCCCTGCTGAGCAGGGAGCCCGATGTGGGACTTGATCCCAGGACCCCGGGATCATGACCTGAGCCGAAGGCAGTCGCCCAACCAACTGAGCCACCCAGGCGCCCGACTTTTAAGAATTTTAAGAGGGCATACTAATAATACAGAGAAAGGCACAGTGGGAAATATATTTTAATGGCTTATCTAACTCTTCATTTGAAATGTCTTATAACACAGACTGTTAATACCAAGAAAGTAATCACTCAGGAAGAATTTATAATGAATTTAGACTAAATTGAAATGTTTCAGTTAGATTACAGCAATGCACTGTATTGGTTCTCCATTTTTATAGTGTAGATTTTTTTTTTTTTAAAAGATTTTATTTATTTATTTGAGAGAGAGAGAAAGCACATGAGAGGGGGGAGGGTCAGAAGGAGAAGCAGACTCCCCACCGAGCAGGGAGCCCGATGCGGGACTCGATCCAGGGACTCCAGGATCATGACCTGAGCTGAAGGCAGTCGCTTAACCAACTGAGCCACCCAGGCGCCCTATAGCGTAGATTTTTTTAACATTTTGTTAATTGTTTAAAATTTTGAAATGATCTTTTAATTCAGAGCATAAACCTCTACTCTTCAAAGGAGAAATATTTTTTGCAGATGCAGTTGTTTTGAAAGGCGGTTAACATTTCTCTGTTTAGACTCTGCTCTTTGAGCAAAAGTAGTGGGGTATTTCTTTAGTAGAGCTGTGTAGGTGGTTAGAAGTCAGGAATCATTTATTTGAAGAGCTGTTTACAGACTGTTTGGCTTAGGGACTGGGATGAGGGTGTGTGTGCATGTTAGTGTTTTGGAGGCTCCCTAGGTGATTGTTTGATTTAGTTATGTCTGTTGTGATTGTGATTACATACTATTTATAATTTAAGACACACACAGGTAATAATTGTTCTTTCATGCCCAGCTTAATAGGATGGCTTCCCACATCCTTTGATGTCTAAGTTTATCAACCAAACTTTAAAATGAGGAAATTGGGGCACCTGGGTGGCTCAGTTGTTAAGCATCTGCCTTCGGCTCAGGTCATGATCCCGGGGTCCTGGGATCGAGCCCCACATAAGGCTCCCTGCTCAGCGGGAAGCCTGCTTCTCCCTCTCCCACTCCCCCCTGCTTGTGTTCCCTCTCTCACTGTCTCTCTGTCAAATGAATAAATAAAATCTTTAAAAAACTCGTTTTAAGGTATGATGGGGAAAGAAGACTGTGTTAGTTTTGCACTAAGCATGCAAGAATCTATATCTGCATGCTCTCACCTTTATCTTCTACTGTAATTTAAATTCAACTCCTAAAGACCCTTACTGAAGGGAAATCCTATCAGTGCCTGTCTCTGAGTTCTGAATTTTCCAGTCCCTGGGCTTGGAATGTGGAGGAGATGAAAGAAAACAGACTTGAGAATATGCAAACATGAACTCAGACCTTCCCCAGAAGTCACCCAGAACTCCCCAGCTCCTAAATTTCACTTTAAAATGTGCTTGATGCATTATCTGAGTTTGGGTCATCTTAAGGGAGTGCAGATATTAGAAGCTGTTATTATATGCAGGTAAAGAAGAGACTAAAATGCCTGCTTGGAAGAAAACCCTGATTCCGGGGATGGTTTTATGTTTAATGTGCTTCTTAGAGTAGTAGGGTACAGATTAAAGATTGAAGGTGTATTTTTGAGACTAGCTCTTACATGTTCTTAAACAGGAAGAAATTTAAGTTATAACTGTCTAAGAAAGACTATGGATTGTTTTTGAAATAGCACGTGGTCTTACATTAATGTTTCCTTCTTTATATTCCTCAAAGCTTATTCTGTCAAAATTTATAGTTAGCCTGTTGATGTTCAGTCCATTGTTAATGTTCTCTAGGTTCTACCAACATATATACAGTTTTTTTTCCTCCTTCCCTGTTTGAAGAAACTCTTGGAGGAGTCAGAAACCAGTAACATCTTGTTGGAGGGTGGATGTGGTGATAGAAATTGGGTATATGGAGGGGTGGCCTATTGCAGGGAGTAGAGGGACTGCTGACCATACCTTTTCATACTACGCCGAAAGTAAACCATATAAATATATTATTTATATAAAATACTAACGTAAGGGGGTCTGTATTTTAAATAATATGTGCTCATTGTAGAGTAAGTTGAAAATAGAGGAAAGCACAAAGAAGAAAAATTATCACCAGCAGTATCCACCCCCTAGAGTGTTACTGTTTTGTTATAGATTATCTCAGTCCAAAAGAAAAAAGCATGTTTTTATTATAAACTTGTACATTTTGGCAAAACAATTATATTTTGTAACCTGCCTTTTAAAATTTAACAATATATTGTAAATAGTTTTCCAGATCCTTAAATATTTGCTTTCCTTGTTTTTAATTGCTGCATGGTGTTCTATCATATTGAAATACTTTATTTAACCAGTTCACTCTTGTTGAATATATATATATTGTCTTAACTTTCTCTCACATAATTCCATGTAAGTAAATCTGCACACATCCATAATTATTTCTAGGTGTAGAATTGGCTGAGTCAAAGACAATTTTTTTTTATTCTTATGTTAATCCCCATACATTACATCATTAGTTTTAGATGTAGTGTTCCATGATTCGTTGTTTGTGCATAACACCCAGTGCTCCATGCAGAATGTGCCCTCCTCAATACCCATTACCAGGCTAACCCATCCTCCCACCCCCCTCCCCTCTAGAACCCTCAGTTTGTTTCTGAGTCCATCGTCTCTCATGGTTCCAAAGACAATTTTTTTTTAAGGCATCGTTAAATTGCCTCCTGATAGAGTTGTACTCATTTGTGCTCATTATGGTGTAGGGGTCTCCCTAACCATAGGCATGTAAGATTGCCCAGGCCACCAGCAGACACCTGTTAATTCATTGCAGTAGAGTAAATAAAACCTGAAGATAGAGCAACTTCTGGGATTCATGTTGTGGGTGGAAGACTATCCGGGGTATAAAAACTAATTTTATCTTATATCCAATATGTGATTGACATCAGGCTATAGTAGGTATTAACATAATTAAGTTTGGGATTTTTGGATATTTAGTTGCTAGCATTGGCCATGATGGATGGACTTTTTGCTGTACTAGGTTGACATCTTTTCTGCTAATAGATTGGATTGTGTTTCTGCTGGCCAGCCTAGTATTCTATTGGAGGGATGTGTAAAACTGAACAGTTTCTAGATTGAAATAGGCTTAAAAGTGGATGTCCAACTGAATTTATTAAAAAATGAGAGATGGCTGGGGCTCCTTCCTGGCTCAGTTGGTAGAGCATGCAACTCTCTCTCTCCCTCTTTTTTTTTTTTTTTTTAAGATTTTATTATTTGAGAGAGAGAGCCTGAGCAGGGGGGTGGAGGCAGAGGGAGAGGGAGAAGCAGACTCCCTTTTGAACAGGGAGCCCGACTCGGGGCTCAGTCCTAGGACCTTGAGATCGTGACCTGAGCCGAAGGCAGACACTTGTCCGACCTAGCCACCCAGGCGCCCCAAGCATGCAACTCTTGATCTCAGGGTTGTGAGTTTGAGCACAACATTGGATGTAGAGATTACTTAAAAATAAAATCTTAAAAAAAAAAGAGAAATGGCTAAGTAGCCTACACACACTTGGGATCCAGAGAAAATATTGCATAGTATTTAATTGCCTTTTGAAATATTTACTGAGCATCTTATTTCAACATGAAGAGGTACTTCGCTTGCACACTGGTAGTTCTGTGAATTTCACTTTTGGATCTTGGAGAATGGAGAGAAGAGGTTAGGCAAATAATTGGCAAGAAAAGCAAACGGTTACAAGGCTATTAACAATGCAGCCTTGTTTACCCACTCTTTGCCTATCTGGATTTCTGAAACTGGATTCTTTAGCTCTGTGAACTAGTTAGCACAAGAGCACTCCTTTCGTTTTTAGGGTGCTTGGAATTGTAAGCATGCTGGAGAGAACACAATCATGTATATCTTAGTTGGATGAGTGCATCCTGCCACTGTTAGGACTTGGTGTTGTAAAGGGATTAATAGTGAGAAGTGAGCTGAGAATGGTTTATCTGTGGAAACCTCTGGAATTGCCTCTTAAAGTCTGTTTGTGTTATGGACATTTCATAGTGGGGAGGTTACAGAAATCAAAAGGCTATTAGTTTTGAAACCAGAAGTCTGCTATAGTCACAGTTAACATTTTTTATTTGTAAAGCAAAGGAGCAAAGATTGCTTCATTTAATAGGTGGGGCCTTAGTTATGAGATCTAATTTTATAGTGTAGGCTCTTTCAAAGAGTACTACTACTGAGTAGTATCTGTTTTGTAAAATTTAAGTGACACTGTTACTTCCTCTCATTTTTGGTTATGATCTCCTAGTAAATCTTACATTTTTATCACAAGAATGAACCAGGCAGTGGAGTATGAGAGTTAATTTTTTGGGGAAATAGGAAAACTAATGGCAGAATTTAAAATACCATCCTTGTTACTATGAGGGAGCAGAGGAACTGTTTTAAGAAGTCCTTTATCTGAGGGGCACCTGGGTGTCTCAGTTGGTTGAGTGGCTGACTCTTTGATTTCAGCTTGGGTCATGATCTCAGTCAGGGTCCTGGGATTGAGCATCACGTAGAGCTCTGTGCTCAACGTGGAGTCTGCTTGTCCCTCTCCCTCTGCTCCTCCCCCCTGCCCCTCCACTCTTGCTTACTCACTCTCTCTCTCTTAAATCTTAAAAAAAAAAAAAAAAAAAGAAGTCCTGTATCTGGTTTTGGGTCATTTTTTGCTTGTGTGTCCTAAGTTTGCTGTAGATGTTGGGGCAGATAATCCTCCCCGCATTTTCATTCTCACTTTTGTTTTTCTCTTATGAGATACTTCCTTGTGGCTATCACTGAAGCATGATGAAAATTAACTGTTATTAATGAAAATGTTGAGTTCTGTCATCTGCTTCACATCTGATTTTTGCTTTTGTTTTCAGCACTGGCTAGATGGTACCAAGAGCATCAAAAAGCAAGTAAAAAGTAAGTGTTGAAAAAATTGTGAACAAAAAGTGAATTTAATTATATGTAATTATGTATTAGAAGCTCTGATTCCTAATAAAGAGATCATATTTCAGATGAGTTTCTTAGCATCTCTACTTTCTAAAGATAATTTCGATTTGATACACTGACCCACCCCCTAAGTTAATATAGGGTTAATAGTAATCTAGAGTCTCAAGTGCTTTACAGTTTATTTCCTGGAGAAAGACTTGCAGCTTGCAAAGGAGATTGAGTTCTCATGAGATGCTTAACTTTTAGTAATTTACTTAGGTTGGAATTTTCCTATTTGGCATCTGCCCTGCTCTATAAAATATTTTGAGACTTTAAAGATGTAACTTTTAAAAATTAAGAGTAATGAAATGAAACAATTCACATAAAATGTTATTATTCCTAGCAATAGTCAGGGGAAGATACCAATGTCCGGTTTGTAATCCAGTTTGTCCTTTGTCGTAAGAGGTTTCAGAGCGTCTCAACTTTTGTCTTTACAAAATAATGGGACCACTGAGAATTCAGACATCAGTGTGGAGTAGGTGAAATGAATTGGAAAGTGTGTGTGGGGGGGATTTGCCATGAGCAGTTAATAACCTAGGCATTACTCAGTATTCACAAGAAATACAGCTTGCCAGGTTTTTTTTGGGCTGTTAGATTGCATAGTCAAAACTTATATTTGATGCATTTGGCCCAGAACTGTTAGAATTAATCTAGAACTATCTATTCTTGGGAGGACAGCTGATTGTGATAGTACTATATGATGGTTGGTACATTTAAAAAATCTACTGATTGATTTTTTTGTGTTACGTGTAATTAAAGCCTGGCAGGCTTTAATTAAGCCATACAATATTTTGGTGTGTGAAATATTGCCACGATAATGTTACCTTCTGTCTTCACTTCAGTAGACTTTTTAACAAATTTACTGACTGAAAATTCTTAAACTCTTAGAATAGTTATATAAAAAGTTATTTTTGTTTGTTTTTGTTTTTTAATGACAGTTGGTTCACCCTATTGTCTGCATCTTCGAGTTAAATTTTATTCCTCAGAACCAAATAATCTTCGTGAAGAGCTAACACGGTAAGACCACTCTAGAGTTGTACAGGGTGAAGTTTTGGTCAGCTAGCTAAAGATGTTGGAAGATTGCCTTTATAGTTCTTTCCAGCTTGTAGACCACTAATGAAATGGATCTCTCTTGCCTTTGGTTAAGACCTCAGACAATAGAATTTCATTTTGGGACAGTGTTTTTAAGTGTAGGATTTTTTTTTTCCTTTATCAATTTTCCAAAAAAAGAGTTGGTTCCCTAGCATCCTCTAAAGGTAACTAGTTGAGTTCTTTTTTTTAAGTGTCATTATCAACTCATGGATTTTAAACAGGACTGGTATGTTTGACTATGCTGCCGTATTATATTTATTGATGTTTATTGATGTTCAAAATGATCTATCTTTGGCCACTGGGAGTTTATTCAAGTTGGCTCCTGACTTTACCTATTGAAATGCCATTGATGAAAAATATTAGATCCTGATTTGGTTTGAATAGTTTTAAGCAAACTTTAAGTAGGTTATATACAATTATTTTTATTTTGTCCTGCCTCCTTCATGTTTTTTCACTGACTCTATGTGGTAAATCCATGATTCACTCACACATACTGTTTATTAAGTAAAAACTGAGTTGCCAAGTCCCTTTAGAAGGGTTTCCTCTTGAATATTCTGCCAGTGAGATTATAGCTAATCTCCATTGTAACATACATCCCTGTATCCTTTCACATACAAGGTGACTTGGGTTGTGAGAGTAGTGTTAAATTAGGTCACAGAGCTTATTCTCAGTAATTTGCTTAAAACCTTTAATCTTAAGGTGGTTGTACTTGTACTCTGTGGCCTTCTATTCCTTGCTGTTATGGACATCCTCCTGATGTTTATTGCCCCCTTTTTTTTGTTTTTTGTTGGTTTTTTTTCATATTTTTTTCTATTATAGATTCCATTGGAGGTAAAATTCTGTAATTAAGAATGTTTCTTCTCAAATTAGAACAGTAGGATTATTTTTCAAAGTAAATTGTTCTGTTTAGTTAAATGTGTGCTTTTTATTTTTATTAGGTATTTATTTGTTCTTCAGTTAAAACAGGATATTCTCAGTGGAAAGTGAGTATCAGTTATTTAAGGTAAACCACATTTTAAGTAATTGAAAATGATTTTGAAAAATAAATTCATAGTTAATTATGAAAAAGAAATGGTCAACATAAAGTATGTATTATTTCCACTTATCTTAAAATGAAGCTTGTGAAGTTGACTTGTCTAACAAATTTATGTTTTGGTCTCAGATTAGAGTGTCCCTTTGATACAGCAGTTCAGTTGGCAGCTTATAATCTGCAAGGTAAGCAGTTCTTATGTTGACTGTTAAGAATAAAGCGTAATTCTTTTTTTTTTTTTTTTAAGATTTTATTTATTTATTTGACCGAGAGAGACACAGTGAGAGAGGGAACACAAGCAGGGGGAGTGGGGGAGGGGAGAAGCAGGCTTCCCGCAGAGCAGGGAGCCCGATGCGGGGCTTGATCCCAGGATCCTGGGATCATGACCTGAGCCGAAGGCAGACACTTAATGACTGAGCCACCCAGGCGCCCTCAAAGCATAATTCTTTTTTGTATATTTTTAGTTAAGAATTTCAAAAGATTCAAAGTGATGTGCCAAGAAAAGTAACACTGCTGTTGTTGTGTAAACTTGTATCAATATCCAGCCCTAACTATTACTTTCACTTGTTTTAGAACATTGCCTTCTTTTTCTTCCCTTTCATTTTATTTGCTCCCTTTCCATCTGTACCTTGTTTTCAAACAAAAATTGCTGTTGACTTGATAATTCAATAAGTATAACGGGACCTTCTGCTACTTTTTTTCCTTGAAAAGAATGCAGGGATATAGGAGTAAATTTTTGCAATAGTCACATGTTTTGCTTTTTTTAGTTTTATGTTTCAAAGTTCCTGATGGTTATTTTAACAATAAAAAAAGTATTTTCCAATAAATGAGATTAAAGAAAAACTCACTGTTTTGTACCTTGTTATACTGACCAAATATTGTTAAGCTTAGGTAATTTTTTTCCTGAAAAATTAACGTTTTGAGAAAACTATAATTTTGGTCCTCGTTCACAAAACAGAAATATTCTATTGGAGTACTTGTTTATACTCGAATACAAATAAAATTAATGATTATGAAGGCATTTATACTTTTTTGGCGATTACATATTTATTCCTAATCCCTCTAGGATCAGTAGTATTTATTTGCATATGTATGGATAATAAGAATAAATTTTTATGTTTTTATGGTAAACCTAATATTTTCGCTTATTTCATGTTTTCATTGTTTTAAGAAAGCATATTTTCCTGTTGATAGAGGGATTAGTGACCAGAAGAAATTTCTGTACTTCAAAAATTTGTCAGTGGTGTAAATTATCTACCTGCCTCTGTCTACTATCCTAATCTGTCTACAAATTAGAATTTGTTTTCTCATCTGCAAAAAGTCAGATACTAGCTTGGAAATGCTATGCCTTTAGCAGCATTTTTTCTTGAAAGCACACTTTTTACGTTTTATTACTTCTGATATGAGGTTGATAATTCTAAAACTTTCATCTACTGAAAAGCTGTCTTTGTCAATGTGTGTGTTCTGCCAGTTACGGCCTCACATGTTCTTTTTGGGTCTTAACTGTGTGTCGTGATAGCCAAGGTATGTGCTTCCTGAAAATGTGATTTTCTACATTTTTGTGTATTTAACAAAACACTATTCAAAGTAGTGCTTACTACTTATTGATTCATGCATTGTGGCTCTATTTTGTTATCTCTTAACTCTACTTATCACATTTTTTTCCTAAGTAAAAGCTCTTTCCTACTTTCTCTTTCATCCACAGCACCATTATCTACATGATTCCTTCACACTTCGTCATATCTTGTGCATCTCTTTGTCCCGTGTCTAATAGTTTGCTAAATCCTGTCTTAAGGTCCTTAAGAATAAATTTGCTGAAGTGTACTACTCCCATCTTCATAAAATGAGTTCTTCGTTTCTCATTTATGATTTTATATTTTATCAGAATAATTTTTGTTATTAACTTTTTCTCATACTTTCACTTTTTCCTTGCCATTTTAGTATATATATCCTGAACAACATTAGGTAGCAGATTTGGTTTGGTGCTTCTTAAAAAACATTATGGTCCAGACAGAAGAGCAATTTCTTCAGTAATAAAGTGGGCATGATAATAAATATTTTGCAAGGTTGTTGAGAAAATAGATGACAATATATCTGTAATAGGTCTAATGTGTAGAGTCATTGTTCAATAAATGAGTTACCATTTTTATTACTATCTCAAGATCTATTTATTCCTACACAGCCGGATTTTTTTTTATAAAAGTGGAAATATTTTAATTTTTAAATATGAGTAAAATAATTCTTTTAAAGGAAAAATGTCTAAAGTATAGAAAATTAGAATTACATACCCTGCTTCCCCAAACCCACAGTTCAGAGGTGACCACAGGTGGGTACATAAATGTTTGTGCATTATCCACGTTTTTTCCTACTGCCTCCCTTCCCCAGATATTTTTTACTAATTTTTCTTGCAGTTTTTTTTTTAATTTTTAAATTTTTTAAAAAAGATTTTATTTGTGAGAGAGAGAGAGCGCATGAGCAGGGGGGAGGGGCAGACGGAGAGGGAGAAGCAGACTCCCTGCTGAGCAGGGAGCCTAATGCGGGACTAGATCCCAGGACCCTGGGGTCATGACCTGAACCAAAGGCAGACACTTAACCTACTGAGCCACCCAGATGCCCCTCTTTCAGTTATTTCTTTAGGATTAACAATTTACAATTCCAGGAGGACAGAGACTGTATCTTTTTTTTTTTTTTAAGATTTTATTTATTTATTTATTTGAGAGAGGGGAAGAAGAGTGCAAATAGGGAGAAGAGCAGAGGGAGAGGAACAAGCAGACTCCATGCTGAGCATGGAGCCCGACCCGGGGCTGGATCCCATGACCCTGAGATCATGATCTGAGCTGAAATCAAGAGTTGGACGCTTAACCAATTGAGCCCCCCAGGCACTCCAAGACTGTATCTGTTAGTGGTGTATGATGTCATGTTCTCTGCACATTAGATTTTTTTTTTTTTAAGAGAGAGCGTGTGCACAAGCTGGGGGTGGGAAGGGGGAGAGAGAGAGAGAGAGAATCTTAAGCAGGCTTATACCCAGTGCGGAGCCTGACGTGGGTCTCAGTCTCATGATCCTGAGATCATGACCTGAGCCGAAATCAAGAGTCTGATGCTAAACCAACTGAGCCATCCGGGTGCCCCTCTGCATATTAGATTTTTAATGGATGCCTGCTAATTGTTTTTTTAAAGGTTGCTAAATATTTTTGTCTATTTATTATAAGGTCAAAAGGTATTTCTCTAAGGAAGTCTAGAAAGTTTTCAAAAGCTAAGCATTATAAGGTATGAAATAAATTAACAGAAACACATTTATTTGAAAATATACCACCAACCACAAATATGTGATTGTGTGTATAGACGTTGACAGGTTGTTAGTCTGAGCTAGATTTATTTTGGGGAATGATCTGGATGTTATGACTTACTGCTAGTGTAAGAAAAGAATCTAATCTTAGCGATTTTTATTAATAAAATGAGTTTTGAAGAAAGATTCAGCAGGAAATAAACTTATTAACAAAATTTAACTTTGTGAAACTTATGTTTATAGCTGAACTTGGTGACTATGATCTTGCTGAGCATAGTCCTGAACTTGTATCTGAGTTCAGGTTTGTGCCGATTCAGACTGAAGAGATGGAGCTGGCTATTTTTGAGAAATGGAAGGAATACAGGTACTTGACATTTGATCACACTTTTCTTTAACATGGCCACAATGATTTTATATTTGTTTTCTTCTATTTCTGTTATAAATAAAAAATTTATGTTTATTATTATTTTAAACATTATTAATTTTTAAATTTCAGAGGTCAGACACCAGCACAAGCTGAAACCAATTACCTGAATAAAGCCAAATGGTTAGAAATGTATGGGGTTGATATGCATGTGGTCAAGGTAAGTACTGTGTTGTGATGCTTTTTAAAAAGTTTATTCCTTCAAGATTCAAGGTAACTATGGCATTTTTCTATGAGGGAAGGCACGGAGATGGCATAGTATAGCACTGGGTACTTTGGATGTGTTATAAACGTTGAGATTAAATATGAGAATCTCACATAAAGTTTCATTGTAAGAAAGAAGAGAAACAACCAAAATCTCCAAAAAGGTATATCTGTGCTTTTAAGGTGTTATTATTATATTTTTTAGATTTTTAAACCACTTTTTATTCTTTCACCTCATATTCATATCATCTTCTATCACTTAAGCTGAGTAGACTATTTTTTTTTTTTTTTAAAGATTTTATTTATTTGAAAGAGACACAGTGAGAGAGGGAACCCGAGCAGGGGGAGCGGGAGAGGGAGAAGCAGGCTTCCCGCTGAGCAGGGAGCCCGACATGGGGCTCAGTCCCAGGATCCTAAGATCATGACCTGAGCCGAAGGCAGATGCTTAATGACTGAGCCACCCAGGCGCCTCTGAGTAGACTGTTTAAAAATTAAAATAATTTAGGAAGCAAAGTAGAAAATATATAGTTGAGAGGACTTTGATAAGTATGTTATACAGCTTGTATGGTTATTTAAGTTACTAAAATTAAGACTAAATTTTCCAGAGAGGCAGTCTTTTTAAAATTTTGTAATTTAAATGGTAAATAGAATACAGACAGAATCTGCAAAGAACTTTCTTTGTAGGGGCGCCTGGGTGGCTCAGTTGGTTAAGCAACTGCCTTCGGCTCAGGTCATGATCCTGGAGTCCCAGGATCGAGTCCCGCGTCGGGCTCCCTGCTCAGCGGGGAGTCTGCTTCTCCCTCTGACCCTCCCCCCTCTCATGCTCTCTCTATCTCATTCTCTCTCTCAAATAAATAAATAAAAAATCTTTAAAAAAAAAAAAAACTTTCTTTGTAGTGGAAGTATACCACAGTGTATTTTCAGTGATGACATACTTTAAGACTATGGTGTTACAGTAAAGTAAATGTATGCATGAATTTCCCTGAGAATGTTATTTTGGGTGTTCTGATTGTTGAAAACACTTTGCATATTAATATTAGCCTGTATATAGTTAATATAATTCAATGTGAAAATAAACTGTGAACATGTGGAGTCTGTCTTATGCAAATCTAACACATTTTGTTCTCCTTAAATTAGGCTAGAGATGGGAATGACTATAGCTTGGGACTGACTCCAACAGGAGTCCTTGTTTTCGAAGGAGAGACCAAAATTGGCTTATTTTTTTGGTAAGCAGAGTTAATGTTACAGATACTTATTGTTTTGTTTTTTTAATGAGTAAAAAACATCTCTGTCAAGTTAGTACATAAAATTGAGTTTGAAAATAAAATTCTGAAAAGATTGTAAATGAAAAGCAATATTCTCCCATCATGCTCCTTACCCATCTTTAGTCCCACCCCCCAGAAGTAAATTTTAAACTCTTCCATCCATTTTTCCATTAGTTTCAGGGTATGTCAGCATACATCTCTTGATATATTTTATATTTCTACATGTTTTAAGTGTTCACGAGGACACTCTGCTGTTATGTAGTTATATCACTGTTTTTAGTACTTCTTATTCCACAGGCAGTTTCATTACTCTCTACTCCGTGGTGTGTAAAAGGAGGATATTTACCCCTCCCTTTAAGCTGTGCTTCTCTTTTTAGGTCCCAACTTCTATCATTCATATTTTTAAATTATATTTGCATTTTATATCGAGGATAGATTTTTTTTAAGATTTTTTTTAGAGATTTATTTATTTGACAGAGATCACAAGTAGGCAGAGAGGCAGGCAGAGGGAGAGGTAGAAGCAGGCTCCCTGCTGAGCAGAGAGCCCGATGCGGGGCTCCATCCCAGGACCCTGAGATCATGACCTGAGCCATAGGCAGACGCTCAACTGACTGAGCCACCCAGGTGCCCCTCGAGGATAGATTTTACTTGGATTTTGTAGCCATTTGTAGCCATAGTTAAGTTCTTCACGTCTTGCCTGGTTTGTTCTAAAAATTGAAATCAGGAAATAGTGTTCATATTGTTATTCCTGTGTTAGAATTGGTGTAGAGCTTCGTAGTGTACCAGTGTTACATACAGGAGCTGAAGATGGGTCCCGGTGTTGTTTACTTCTTCACAGCATGCCAGGATTGTTAGCTCAAAGCCCACCAGCACGAAACTCAAATTCCTATACACCCAATTACTTTGCATATAGCCCAATAGGTATATTTTTAATGACTTAGAGCCTGCCTGCTTTGCATGTCCCACTGTAAGCTGTACCTGACATCAGCTAGTCTTAGATAAGACAAATCCTGTAGCTCTGAAAGACCTCAAACCACTACTGCTGTTCAGAGTTCTCTGACCCAGACACTCCCGGCTTGCTGCTGAATGCCATTGAGTAGACATCTAAGCCTCATCTCTGATTCCCCTCTCCTACAAGTTCCCTTGCCTTCTTCCCCTTATTTGGTAACTTTGTGCAGCCACCTCTGGAAGGTCTCCTGTTGTCAAAGACTTACCTTCTCATGCATCCCTGTTCAAACACCTTAGTAAAGTTTATTGTACAATACTGCTGTCTCATGATCCTGTCTTTCTTTTGATCAGTCCAGAAATCCTTGAACTCACAACTGGGATTACATTTATTTTTTCCTGTGTAGGTTTTTGTTTTTCCCAAAGTTCTTGGCTCCCCCACCCCCCGCCAAGCCACCACTCTTGCATACCCCACACAACCCTTTGAATTACCTGCCTTTGTCTTATCCTTAAGTTCTTTCAAATCCTCAGGATTGCATTAAATGATTCTTCTGTTCCAGTTGGAACTGTCTGCTCTTCAGGCTACTCTGCAGCTTTTATCTGTTTCCTCAGCTAGGATCCTTTGTGTCTTCTTCCCATGTTTTCCTTTCTTTCCTTTTGTTTATTCCAATCTATATCCTTAAGTACCTGCCTAAGAAAAGAGGGGTGTAGGAGGTAAATTGTTTGAATCCTTGGATACCTTAAAATGGTTTATTCTTCTCTTATGCTTTCTTTTTTTTTTTTTTTAAAGATTTTATTTATTTATTTGACAGAGAGAGACACAGCGAGAGAGGGAACACAAGTAGGGGGAGTGGGAG